ATGAGAGAAAATATTACAACAAAGAATAATACATTCGTCTAAATATCTAATCGACGGTGTTGATTTCAAAAAACAGATATTTTCAGATTTATGTCGAATTTAAGAAGTACCAGTCAAAATGACTGGTATTGGTAGAAGTAGCAAATGCCAAAATTTATTCGAATTATGTTTAAGTTATAAAAAAATAAAAATTATTTTTACAAACCATTCCTTATATCTAGAAAAGTCATCATATAATTTTGAGAAAAAAATGTAACGTGAGGTGGGAATTAAATAATGAAGTTGCGCGACCAGTCATTTTGACTGGTCTGGTAGTTCTAGTGTTAAATATAATTATTGAAATTTACACTTCATTAAATCGTCTATCCATAACCAAAATTTTTGTTTTGATTTCATCCTGTTCAATTTTTGATTCCACGTCTCTTGTAATAAAAGTCTCGGAAGTAATACTAAGGGACAAACAAAGAAGTCTAAGGGATCAAAAACGCAGTGTGCTAACGTGAGAATATTTCGTTTCGTAACTTTTGATTGACGGAGTTTTTATGAAACACTAAATAAATCTATTTAATCATATTTCTTCAAAAGGGTACTTGATTTCTGCATCGTCTTTCTGCTCAAATTTCGTTCAATTCCTCGTAATCGTAATCATCGGGGCCCTGTTTTGCGGCAATGTCGAGGAATTCATGTATAATAATATATTCTTCATATTCTTGTCTTTCGTCTATTGAATTTATGACTGTGGTAATTTTAAGGCTTTAGCAGGATATTCCTTCGCACTATTTGCATAGTTGAGTGCAAAGCAGCTCAGCTCTTTTTTGCAAGTAGTCGAACGGTGTAGACTTTTAAAAATTCCTTGAGATTTTTCGAAAAGTCATTGCAAATTTTTGCAAATTTCCAAATATTGTACCCGACTTTCGCATTCCCTCCCACTCTCATTACTGTGGCTTTCCCGTTGTTCCCTTCCCCTACTCTCCTCACTTCGTCGATCTTGATCATCGTCCCCTCACCCCTCTTACATTTTGCGTGATAACTCCTTTGAACTTCACTGTTCACCACACTTTTCGTATGCCACTAATTCACCCTTTTCTTTCTCTCCCTCCTTTCTGTTCCCTTACCCTATTTTTGTAGTACTTGTGCACGGCGTGCTCTTCAATTTGCTTCTTTACTGAAATACTATTCTTGCTTTATCTTTCTCTTCCCTATGAATCGTCGAGAAACGATCTATTTTATCGAGTCCACCATTTCCTAATTTCCTCTCCATTGCATAAAAGAGTACTTATTCATTTTCTCTGCTGTTCAGGTTTTATGCCAACTTTTCTGCGATGGTAATTCTGTATGCTTTGCCAGTGCAGAGTACTGAATTACCATCTATCGTCTCGGATTCAGAATTAATGTTTGCGCGTACCTTATCCATCGGGTTTCTACAGTATCCTCAGTTCTTGTTACTAAAACTCAATTCTTACCGTAATATGGTAGTCAATTTTAGATTCATCATATATATAAGTATTTAGGATCAAGATTAGAAAATAGAATAGATGACGGACTACGTTTATTATTCCTGTGTTAATTTTTATTATATTATTAATACGTTTTCCCCACCCTCCCCCCTTATAGAAAGAAAAAGCATGATGTCATAGTTAAAACAAAGCTGAATTGTGATTTTAATACAAAAAAATACAAACGTACAAAGAGATTTAGAATTTTACTCAAAGCATAGTAGAATTGTATTTCTTATTGTTTGATATTTATATATAATTATTAAGTTTAATCTTAGGGATATTTTTTTGGGCAGGTTTTAATTAGATGAACAATCTATTAATTAGTTGAACGTTTCGTCCCTATATTTGGGACTTCCTCAGCAATTTGATCTTTATTGTTTTCGAGTATCAAAACGTTCGAACACGAAAAGTTGTGGTAGGGTAACGGTTCAGAATTGACTGTATGTATAAGATAGTGTATACTTATGACTGTAATTAGAAATGATGATATATTGACTCGTGAACAATAACGATCGAGTTGCTGAGGAAGTCCCAAATATAGGGACGAAACGTTCAACTGATTAATAGATTGTTCATCTAATTAAAACCTGTCCAAAAAAATATCCCTAAGATTGAACTTAATAATAATATTAGAAAATTTTGGATAAGAAAATTTATTATATTTATATATAATGTTTAAATTACTTTCATTTTATTGTTAGCAACTAAAAATATCACAGAGGAAGACTATTAATAAATAAAAGAAGTTTACTTTATAAAAATTGCCTGGGCAAAACTTGCGACGACAGTGTGAGGTATGAAGCAAGAAAAATGTTAATGGAATTAAACGTTCCAACTTAATTGGCGTCGTATGTAAAAAAAAGGAATCCATGGAATTTATGCAGCAGAACACTTATGTAATAATTGAGAATAAAAAATATTTTTTTTTTCGTAACAATTACTTTTTATATAATAATTTGGGCTAATTTTACAACCTTTTCCATTATTTTCCGAAAAGTATAACTGTGCATTTTATCTCGCACTTTTAACATATATACAAGAAAATTTTTCACTATTCAAACGATTAATATCTAGTGATTTTCAATTTAAAAATATGGTAAGAGAAGGAGAGACTGTATAATTATCAATACTTTTATTGTTCACAAATTTAAAATTAAAAAAAATTCTTTATCAGACATTTAATATAACAGGATGAGAAGTCCTAATAAAAAGAAGAAGAAGAAGAAGAAATTTAACAATACATATGGTTGTTGCTATGTGCTTATACGGATCTAGTAACCTGTATTTAGATTCCAGGTATGGATTAAGATGTAATTATTTCATTAGTTCCAGTAATTTTCGATCCTCTATCGCTTGAATTAGTTTTTAAACACATTTATTACGTTTGCTCAAATGTTACTCATAAAATCACTTAATTGCTGGTTAATTTTTTTTTCTTAATAATTAAACTCAATACAGATTACTGTTGAGTTATATTTACATTCAATATATAACTATTACTAAAAAGTATAGTTTTATGTTAATGAATGTTAGATAGGAATTATCAAAATAAGAATGAAAAATCTACAAAAAATTGAGTATTAATTATTATTAATCTTTGAAACAAAATCAATGTGCGCGTATATTGACGCGCGAGATAGAAAGAGAGATAAAGATAGAGAGTGTTTTAATGAATATTTGATTAACTGAAAAATAAATAAATAAACATTTTATCATTTTTTTTTATACAGTTAGACATCAAACGTATTAAATATAAAGAAGTAAGAAAATTTCAGAGAAAAAAAAAAAAAAAACGCGCGGCCCAACGTTAATCAAGAGTCGTTTTTCTAGACATTGATAAAAACTTTGAACGAACGTAAGAAAGACAAAAAAAAAAATAAAAAGAAAAAAGGGGGAAAAAAAAGTAAAGCTGATAATCAAAAGGAAAAGTGGTAAAGTAAAAAAAAGACGAAAAAGGGGAAAAGAAAAATAAGAAGTAGGAAGAAGAAGAAGAAGTAAGAGAAGGGAGGAGAAGGAGGACGACGAGGAAAAGGCTAAAGTAAAGGGGTGGAAAAAGGTATGCATGTGCGTGTGTGTGTGAGTAAGAGAGAAAGAGAGAAATAGAGATAGAAAGAAATAGAAAGAGAGAGAGAGAAAGAGAGAGCAGTCATTGGGGCGCAGACGCGTCAAGCTATGGGGTGGTCGGTGAGGTTCGGGGTTGTTCGGGGTTTCTCGTAGTTTGTAACCTTTACGGCGGTGGCCAGTGCACGTTCGTCTCGAACGTCGAGCGCCTCGCGTGCTCGCGATTAATCGTTCTCTCACTCTCTTTGTCTATTTCTGTCTCTCTTTTTCTCTCTATTGCTATCTATCTATCTCTATATATATATATATATATATATATATATATATATATCTGTTTCTTTCTGTCTGCCTATGTATATATATATCTTTGTCTCTCTGTTTCTGTTACTCTCCTTCTCTCGCACGATAATCCGTCGCGCGTTTTAACCGGGATAAATCTAATCGTGTGCTGCACAATGTAAAAAGTACGATGATGATGATGACGATGACGATGACGATGATGATGATAATAATGTGCGTGTCGAGCAAAGGAGAAGAACAATACATAGAGATCAAGTTTTTGTTTATATTTCTATATGAGATCAAACAACGAATAATAATCTCGTAAATTATTAAACTTATTTATTTACATATTATTCTCTTCCTTGTATTTGTATTATTCTTCTTCTTCTTCTTATAATTTTTGTTTTTGTTTCTCTTTTGATTCGTATATTATTAACATAAACGTGTCAGATAGATAAAATAACGAAATATCACATACAAGGGGACCATCACTCTTCCTTTTATATTTGTTTTTTTTTTTATACTTCTATTTTGTTTTTACTATCCTTTTATTTTTTTTTTTATTTGTCAATCGAATTTGAATTGACATTATATTATCTTTTTATCTTTATTCATTCCCTTTCGCATTATATTTTTCTATTAGATATTTCTTTTCAACGTTGTTTCACCTTTGATTTTTCAAATGCTTCGACGTAGAAAATCATTTCAAACATAGTATATTTCATCTCTTGAAATATTCTTTTCCTTCTTATTTTTTGTTCTTCCTCTTACTCTTTAATATATTCACCAATGAATAATGTAATAATTCGGTATAATATCTCGGGAATTCGTTCTCTCCCTCTCTCCCTCCTACCCTCAAAGGAGTATTCTTCTTCGGTTCGATCTGAATGTACTCGATTTTCATTTCGATTACGCTTGAAATGCATTTTATGTTTAAACGGTAAAACAATAATCTTTCCATTCGGTACTTTTTCTACTTTATTTTTTTGGCACCATTTTTACGAGGTATTTCTAAGATCTTACGATAATAAAAGATTCGAATTTTCTTTCTTCCTATCATCTTTTATTTTGTCATTCATTTTGAAACGTAAAGAACACACCATCGAGATAGTTCATCGAAGTTGATCCTTTAGCATATCGAATTTCGAAGGAAACTTGCAATATTCTGACATCTCACAGAATATAGTCAATGAGAATATACCAAGCAGTATAATCTATATATATATATAGATTATATATTTCATTTCGTTGTCGTTGCACACGTGTTACCACGATGTATGTAGTTACATAGAATACATACGTGTTTTCTCGCGATTTTCGTTGCATACATATATATACAAAACTTATATTTACCATCGGTATGTTGAAGCATAGTTTATGTCCATTGGGAAATACTTGCATGTAACAAAGATAGTTTCTCCATGTTTCTTATACAGCATCTCGTTTCACACAACTCAAGTATAATTTTCATCGCTTATTTTGTGTTCTATTAACAAATATACATATACAGAAATACATATATATGTGTGTACAAATATATATATATATAAATTTATGTGTTGATGTGCGTGCGTGCGTGTGAGTCTGTCTCTTCGTGTGCACGTTGCGGTTTAATACGGCATTGCGGGTAGACGTTGAACGTAGATCGAAATACGAGGGTGAATCTCATCTTAGGAACAACTTTTCAAGTTGGAATGATAGTAGTGAATGTGTAGTTTCCATCGATAGATCCTGATGTTTTTCATAGGCTTTTTCGAATATGATCGATCGATTTTGAAAGACGCTTTTCCTACAAATTCTTTTCTTTCTATTATTTTTTTCTTTCTCTCTCTTTTTCAATTTCCCTTTCCCTACTCCTTTCTTTCTTTTCTCTTCTCTTCTCTTCTCTTCTCTTCTCTTTTTCTTTATCTTTTTATTTCTCTCACATACACATTCATACATTCACAGAGAACATTTGCTTGGAAGCTTGATTACCTCGAGGGATTCCCTCTCAATCCGTACAATCAGCCATCACGCTGGATGGTATAATTACAGAGTTGACGTAAAAGAAAACGGGAAAATGGGCAGATTTGTTCTAATTTATTTTGGTTTAAGGATAAATCGTGATTCTTGAAGATTTTAGAATTATTTCTACTTGATATATCATATCTGAGATTTTTTTAATAGTATAGATTTTCAAGTTCAAATATTAAAGTAAAATATTAACATAGAATAATTTTAAATTTTCATTTATATTTCATATCTCATATATGGTGGTATACATTATTATTATTATGTTTTCATAACTTTTTGTATTATAGTTTTTATTTTTCGTTTTGTTCTCAATATTTGAAATATTTTGTTTTCTTTTTCTTCTATTTATTAATAATTTAGATAATATAATTAGAGGATTCTCGTGACGAGATTTATTTGAGCTTTTACTTTCGTCCAAAATAAATTGATACAAATGGTGGGTGAAGATTTGTTTCGATTAATACAAAATTTAAACTAGGATTGTATACTAATGTAAGATTTATTTTTAACATTCTATTAGAATGGGTAATTACCTCTATATATTCAATCATATTTCTAAAGTAATGTTTCTTTATTTTTATATTTTTGTTAACAATTTGTAAATCGATTGAATAATTAAATTCAAGTAAAAAAAAAGTATAAAATTTCTTCCCGCTTCTCGTATAAATCAAAAATCGACTTTCGCTATCGGATTCTCGTTCCTTCTTTCATTTTATTTCTTTTCCTCTCTTTCATTCTCTTTTTCTTTCCTTATACTGCTTGTACCAGTAGCTCTTTCCGCACCCTTCGATCATAGTGTTTTACGCGAAGGGAAAGGGAAAGGGACGGGATGGGACGGTTATTCTTAGATGGTGAGTCGAAACGAAGTGTGTACGCGCATCGGTGTATTCCATTTATCACTCTCATCGTATTCGTCCTCTTCGATTCGACTCTTATATATATATATATATATATATACATACATATATATACATGCAATGTACTTCGAGCTATCGTAATTCACGAACGTGTCCTTTTAGCAAGAAATTCGACAAAGAATTCTTTCTTTTTGATAGTATTTTTTTTTTAACACACACACACACACACACATATACACATAAATTAAATACGAACAGGTAAACGATATACCTATATACATAAACGTGACACGCATAGAAAATCATTTTAACACGGTCAGAGTCAGTAATTCGTGAGAGAAAATAGAAAGAAAAATGGCAAGGAGGGTTAATAGTTGTGTGCGTTAAATAAAAGAAAGAAAAAATCGGGGGTGAGTTTTTTTAGATGCGAGCCAGCAGTGCATCGGGGGTGATAAATCGGGGCGCAAAGGCGCCGTCGCATCTCCGTGCTTGTTTTTTTCTCAACGTGATGTTACTATTGCTCTACAATAATCCTTTGTGCTACTATTACTACTATTACTATTACTACTACTATTACACGTGATCGAACAATCGTGAGTGTTGGATTTTCTCGTGGGGAAAAAACGTTAATCTGACTGATTTTTCTTCTGCGAAGAGGAAGAGGAAAAATAGTGGTAGAGGGGTTAGAGGAGGGGAAGAAAAAGGGGAGGAGGATAAAAGAGTAAAAAAAAGAAAAAAAGATAAAAGAAATAGATAATTAAGGAAGCAAAACAAAATTAGAAGAAGATAATAAGAAAGAAGGGGGAAAAAATGAGGGCCTCGTTGTTACTCCTGGGGGGCATCATCGTAGTTCTTTCGATCGCGGTTGCAAGGGCACTGTCCTGTGTGTGTTCCCCACTCGAATGTGACATACTCACCGACGAGGATTGCCCTGGAGGACTCACCTGGGATCCCTGCAGGTAACTAGCCTCATTTGCTTTTTTATCTACAAGTTTTTGTATAACTATTTAAATAGTATGTTCTTATCCCGACGGGATATCAGAATAAAACTTATATTATTCGATATTTTGTGTTGTAATCTGACTGGGGTTTCATTTATTTTTCTTTTTATTTCATTTATACTTTCTCTTTTTTTTCGTTTTTTAATATATATATATATTGTTTTTAGAGTGAAGAAAGATAAAACAACGATTTTGTTTACGAAATTATAATATCTTTATAAAGTATCTCATTTTTTGAATATGAAATAATTATGAATAGGTTTTATTTTTTTTTTTTATTCGCGTTTATTGAATATTACTTGTATACACTTGGAAATTTTTCTTCTCATACTTTTCTTACTTGTATTTTTTTGATATCGATATTAAATAATTGTATTTGTGAAATTGTAGAACGAAATTGTATGATCCTAGAATAATCTTTCTTCTTTTTTCCAATATAATTTTTAATTATTTAGTATTTTCTCTCGTCCAAATTTATAATTTTTGATGATAAAGTTTCATAGGGAACTTGGACATGAAAAGAAGTAGAACTTAGTTTGATTGAGTTGGACGTTTCGTCCCTTTATTGGGACTTCTTCAGCAACTTAATCATTAAAGCTCAGCGTCTTTTTTATTTATTTCGACATACATTTCTTAAAAATGTTTTTTCATAATATTCCAAAGCACAATACATCTAAACTTCGTTAGTTTGATCGTTATTATTTATAACAAAACAGTTTTGTTTTATAAATATAATAATAATAACGATCAAACTAACGAAGTTTAGATGTATTGTGTTTTGGAATATTATAAAAGAAATGTATGTCGAAATAAATAAAAAAGACGCTGAGCTTTAATGATTAAGTTGCTGAAGAAGTCCCAATAAAGGGACGAAACGTCCAACTCAATCAAACTAAGTTCTACTTCTTTTCATGTCCAAGTTCCCTATGAAACTTTATCATCAATAATTTTTAATTGTTACGATTTACTAATTTGAAACGATTATTAATAATGTTAAAATATATATTTTGTTTTGCATAAAAAAAATGTTAATCCCTGATCGTATATTTCTTTAATAAGATATTATGAAATGAATATGGTAGATAGAAATATATACGCTAATTGAACATCTAAAAAAATGTTCACGATAGGTAGAAGAAACTTTTAGATTCTTATTAAGGAAGCTGTGACATGTGTGTTAAAAATAATTTCATAAGAAAACTTGTCGAGAGTTTACCAGACAAGATGTTTTTAATCGCACGTTGATCACATTTAACTTACGAAATCAAATAAATTTTGATTTTTTTAAAGAATAAATACAAAAAAAAAAACAGAAATAAAGAGAAAGGAATGATGGATCGTGTTTAACCGAACACGAATGAATAGTTTTTAAATTGTTACAAATGACATTCTTGTTTGAGATTAGTAAAAAAAAAAACAGAAAAGAAAAGAAACAATTAAAAAGAGTAAAACCGTAGTAAACGACAACGAACGGATAATAATTATTTTTATTCTTTGAGCTGGGGTAAGTGGTCCTTGGAGAAAACGCAATATCCAAGCTTTTGTGTACTTAATTAAACGAGCGGAAGAAAAAAGAAAGAAGGCGGTGGAGAAAAAGGGTGGAGGAAGGGCATTAGCTCAGTTGAATGCGTACTTAACGTGAAACAATTCATAATGGATTCTTACGTTCTTTCTATTTTATAAATGTAGATAAGCGTGTTAACGTTGAAATATTCTATTTTGGAATTGAGTTAATGACCAACCATATATAACGGTTGGTTTTTTTTAATACATTAAAATAAGAAAAAAAAAGTTTATGGCATGTATATGTTACCGTTGAATCCAAGCATATTAGATATATATTTGAGACTCGAGATTATCGAAATCTCGAAGAACGGAACTTGACGCTCGATGAAGGTTCCTTTTGTCATGGCATACTCTATTCAACAAAGTTATTCTTCCTTGCATTAGATAACCGTGTTACCCTTTTATATCAAAAAGCTCTATATGATGTGTCGTTTAATACTTGTATGTATTTTAAATATCTTTCGTATTTTTAAAAAGATATCAACCAATCTCGAGAAATAAATCAATGTAAGAACTGTAATATCTAAAAAAAAAAATTATTCTTAATTTATTTATTTAGTATTTCTCTCGTCCAAAATTACAATTTTTAATGATAAAATTTTACAGGGAACTTGGACATGAAAAGAAGTAGAATTTAGTTTGATTGAGTTGGACGTTTCGTCCCTTTATTGAGATTTCTTCAGCAACTGTAAATTTTATTTTATTATAAATTCTTGATACGATACATAAGGTTCATACAATATAATTTTTCTACATATTACCTTAATCATCAAAGTTCAGCGTCTTTTTTATTTAATTTCAACATATTTCTTTTTATAATATTCTAAAACACAATACATCTAAAACTTCGTTAATTCGATCGTTATTATTCAAAGTCCTCAACAAAACTGTTTCAATCTAGAGTAGTGTTTGTTAGCCTAGATATCTTCAGTGTAAGGTGTCCTCTATTATTTATTATGGTTAAAATTTAAAAATTCCGTTGTAGATGTGATTTAGATTATTTTGTGTCTGTTTTAAAATTTACCGTGTTATTATTCCATATGTGATACATTTCGCTGATGTTTCTTTTGTACCAATTTTCTTCTAAGTCTAAGATAGTTGCTGCGTCAAATTTAAAATCATGTCCTGTTGTGAAATGATGTTCAGCTAACGCTGTGGTATTAGTTTTATTCACATTTATAGGTTTACAGTCATTTTTATGTTGGTCTAAATTTAATATTCAACTGCACTGTTGCATATAAATCCAAAATTGAAACAATGTAAAGAAAGTAATGAATTATTTTCAAATACACACCTAATATATAATACAATGCATATATACAAAGTAAATTATCGAATTATTTCATTTCTTATATATTTATAAAAATAAATGAAAAAAAAACTCGAGGAAATCTATCATATATAAAACTTTTCGTAATTGTTTTGTCGAATCGATAAACGTGTCGCGATATGTTTCTATCTTAAGTATTCTAAATGAAATTGACGAGATTTCGATGGAAGTTAAGCGACGAACAATTACGAAATACCTTTGCGAACTTGTTCGGTGTGACGAGATTTCTTCCTCCTCCCCCCTACCTCTACCCCCACCTTTTCTCAACCCTCTTCTTCTTCCCTCTTCACTCATTTGAAGCGACCCTTTTTCTTGGCGCTCTTTGAAATTGCACGCGAGAACGAGAAGAGAACGAGAGCGGGTCCACTTGAAACGGGAGGAAGTTACTTGTAAGGTGAACAATTTGAACGTAATTGCTTTTCGAGTGGCGAGAACCGTAGATAGGTTCGATAGATCTGATCGATCTCGCGAGGTGGTGTGAGTGATAGGAGAAACGGAGTTGGGGGCAGGGGGGAGGTGGAGGGTGGGGGGAGGGCGTGAGAAGGAGACAGAATCGAATAAAAATCGCAGGAGATTGGGATTTCGGATTGATTCGTGAATCATGACGTGACTCGTTATTGCCAGCTTCCGTCGAACGTTGGAACGAAAACCGTCGTCGATCTGCTGACTCTACAATATAGAATCCTGTTCACCATTGTTCCCATTCCTAACTCTACATTTTCATCCTCTGCTTCCTCTACGTCCTTTCACCCCCCCCCCCCGTAACCATGGCCGATATCCATTTAAACTTTTAATTTTAGCTTAATTTATCACAAAAATTGCATTTCCATTCGAAAACTTTCTTAAAATAGTTTGTCACTCGTCTCGTTCGTTCGTTTTTTTTTTCTTTTTTTTTTTCCATTTATTTTGTATTCGCAAATTGAAAAGTTATTTAATAAATCAATTATTTCTCTCGTCCAAAATTATAATTCTTAATGATAAGGGTTCATAGGGAACTTGGACATAAAAAGAAGTAGAACTTAAATTAAATTAAGTCTAGATTGAAACAGTTTTGTTGAGGACTTTGAATAATAACGATCGAATTAACAAAGTTTAGATGTGTGTTGTATTTGGAATATTAACAAAAAGAAAAATGTATGTCGAATTAAAGAAAAAAGATGCTGAACTTTAAAGATTAAGGTAATATGTAGAAAAATTATATTGTATGAACCTCATGTATCGTAATAAGAATTTATAATAAAATAAAATTTACAGTTGCTGAAGAAGTCCCAATAAAGGGACGAAACGTCCAACTTAGTTAAATTAAGTTCTACTTCTTTTTATGTCCAAGTTCTCTATGAACCCTTATCATTAATAAAATACTATAATTAATTTTTGTTTATTTATAATACTTATTACTAATGTTATTAGTGCATAACACGCAAATATATGTATTGTATTATAATTAATAATATATAAAATACAGATCTTTTTCTTTTCATATACTTACTGTAGGAATACTTTTGTTCCCTGTTGTGTATACGCGTACAGTTAAAATAAAATTATACATTTTATGTATTTCTCTTTCTTTTTCTCTCTCTCAATGTATTTTCCAGATGTTGCAAAGTATGTGCGCGCGTTGAAGGTGAACCATGCGGGGGTCTTTTCGGCTTTTCCGGGAGCTGTGCGGTCGGACTGCAGTGTATAATCAAAAATCTACTACCTCACACACGGGAAGTGGACGAGGGCGTCTGTGCGAGTAAGTTTTTAACGAAATTATTTTCTTTCTCTACCGTCATGTCTAACTTTCGTTAATTTACAAACGCTACTCCTCTCTTATTATTCGAAATTAAATATCACGGAGACGTTCAAAAGTACATGAAGAAATTTATCTTTCGTATTCGCGAATGTGTTTCATATATAATATTTTATTTAAATCTTTCTTGTTTTTCTTGTTTGATATTTTTTTTGTTCAATTTTCTCTTTTCAATTTTTCATGGATCAATGCGAAACTAAGTGATCTCTTTTGTATTCGAAACTAATAAAAATTGTTGTTTGCTTTTTTTGATAAAGTTAAATATATATAAAAAAAGAATAGAAGAGAAAAAAAGAGAACCGAAAAACACACAGCATTTGTTTATTATTAGAGTGATATTTGGTATATGAATAAAAGAGAACGATAAAAGGAATTTTGAGAAGTAAACAAATTTTAGGCAAAAATGTAACTAACGCATGCTTCTGTGAATTTAAATTTGTTCTGATAAGGCAAACTAACTTATCCCATTTAGTCGAAGCAACTTTGAGAAACTCATAGAATGTGTATGTATGCTATCATCGAATTAATGACAATAGCATACATACTTTTAATTGCGACATTTCGTATTTACTGAGATAAAAATAGAAATTAATAATTGATAATCGTTGAAGTATAATTAATCTCATTTTTTTGTTTTTGCTCACGTCGAATATTTTTTCTTTATAAAAATCTGCGGATTGTAAAATCCACCACATCGACAATTTTAAACGTTTTTCACGCATATGATGAAACGATGATAAAAATGTAATAAAACATATTCATATATTGGTGGATATTTGAAAATACTTGTTTTTGCCGGCGTACTCGAGGATCGTACTCTCATCGACGTCGATGAAAATTTTCACGTGTTGCGGATAAAAATTTAATGAAATTTTTTTCATGTTTACTCGCTCAGGTGTCGGATAGAAAACAAAATAAAAAAAAGAACCCTAAAATTCCTGGCTCGCACACTTTACATTTTGCAGTTTGTTTATTTATTTTTTTTTCTTTTTTCTCATATTCACTAGAGAAATAGACGAGCAAATTATTTTTCCACAGTGAACAATTATTTGTAATCGTTCTTTTTAACTACTTTTTAGATAGTTATATAAATAATATATAATACTCTTGCCTTTTATATGCGATACGATTAAACGTGGGCATTCTTGTTTCTATTTTTTACGATCCTAAACTTCTTCATTCTCATGTGATTTTTTTTTAGTAAGTATAATACGTATCCGCGATAAAACTAATACTCTATTGTAATCTTGCGGTTAAGTAAAAGAGAAAAAAAAGGGAGATGAGGTACTTGTATATGTATTTTGGACGATCTTAATGTACGTTATAATGTTGGGTCCAGATTGCATTAAGGATATATTACAGGAATTATGTATATGTTATTTTAAAAATGTTTAATCCTGTTATTCCATAGAATAGCTAGATATTACGTGGAATATTTTGACATTTTAGGGAAAAAGGATATAAAAAAAGAATTTTATTTTACACTTTAACTATAATATGCAAGAAGTATCGTCCGTTAGGAAGAACTATTTTTTACTCTTTTATTTGTGTACTTCAACTTTTTCTAAACATTATTTCTTTTCTTATCATTGTGCACGCATAAATGCACGATTAATCAATTAACTGCACTTGCGAAACGTTTAAGATCCAATAAGTTTTACGAGGTCATGATCGATTCACAGGGGGTAATCGAATTTCTCACGTTTTTCTTGTAAAATTAATTCTTCTTTGCACTTTATAATAGAATACTACCTTTTCGTTTGATACTTGACATTTTTTTACGAGTCACTTTTTTTCTTCTTCTTTTTTTTTCAATTAAAACGAGATTGTCTTAAGTCGATGTTCAGCATTAAAATTTCATTTTCTTTTGTATAATATAAGATTTTTACAGAATTTTTTCACACATTTTTAGGCTTACGTTTTCATTTCTTTTGTTTTTTAATTTCCTTCGAATATATGTATTAATAATAAAATATATTCAATCCAAATCGAGCAATTGTTCGAGCCATTTGAAACGTGATAAGTACATTTCAGTTGAAACCTCCCTAGTGGGTTTACCCTCTTCCGCAAGCTGCTTTCTTTCCGCTTTATACCGTTTTCCAGGGTCTTTTTTCATTCAGCTTTCTTTCTCTTTGTTTGAAAGTTCTTGACACTTTTACTAAGACAAGACTATTATCAACCATTCCGTAGGCTCCAAACTGAAAAGGAACTACTACTACTAATGCTATTGCTACTACTTCTACTACTACTACTACTACTACTACTACTACTACTACTACTCTTATTCCTTCTGCTTACTGCTTAACCACTCGCGAATTTAATTGAGCAATTTTTCTGCCAAACCAAATAAGTACCTAAGCGTTATTTGCTAGGAAATTTTCGATACTAGGAACCTTCTCATAGCTTGATTTTCCTAAGTCTCCTTATAGAGAGAATTGAGTGAAACCTTTTGAATTTTCCTTTAAAATCGATCGGACGAGATGAAAAAGTGTAGAGAACGCGTGTCGAGGAAATTATCGAATGCCATCTACTTTACCTTTATGTGCTTTAATATACTTCATTTTGATAGTGTTTTAAAATGAATTATATGAATGAATAGATACTTTGTTCATTTTATCTTCGAATAATATCTGAATAAACAATGTTAATCATTCTTATTTAACGGTGATATTATATTGTCTTTTTTTTTTTTTGCTCATTAATAAGATAATCATCTCTGGAATATTTATCGAGTGGAAATTTTACCGAAATTCTTCGCGTCCGTATATTAAAATTGATTTGATTGTTGCTAAATCATGAAAAAGAAGAGATCACTATTTACAATATTAATTTTGATCGAATGTGAAATAAACGATAAGTATTTATTCGCTAATTATGCATTTCCAATCAGAGTACCAATACTTCCACGATTTAGCGTGGAAGTATAAGTATATATATATTGTTTAATTTTAATTATTAGATTTTATCAATGTTATTTTGTGAGTACGTAAGCTCGACGATTGCCGTTATAGATAGGAATAACAATTCTCATGTATTTTCCACGGTAAAACTAACTTCTCTCTCAGTATCAACGACATGTTTTGCAATCGTGCAAATCGGTAGACTTGCTGTTGTTGGAATCATCGATATTAAAGTTTATTGAAATATGTATCGTTGTAGAGAAAATTTTTGCAACAGAAATTTTGCCAACGCTTACAAGTATAAACGAAATAACAATTTTTCTTTCTCTCTCTCTTTCTATTTTTTTCTTTTTTATATATATGTATATGTATTCGATTCGTCGACAAATTTTAAATCTAAATTACCTAATTTTGTAGAATTAAAAGAGTCTCTCCAAATAAATAAGGTAGGAGTATTGAATTTCGTATTTTCACTTCTTTCCAATTATTTTTTCGCATTTCGTAAAAATGAATTATTCTATGAATTAGAAAATATACGAGAAAAAAAAATATTGTATGCTTGGTTTTTCCTCAAATCTTAATTGCAGGTAGTTTTGTAATATTAATTGGTATCTCAAGTTTTCATTAGGACTTTCGATATGAAGTACTTTGTGAGTTTAACGATTTTTAAAACTTTATAAACGTCAATGATAAATGAAAAATGTTGAAGAAAATTCTAACAGCACATATTAGCAATTAATATTTGTTCTAATTTTCTCTTTTTCTAAGATATACATTTAAAAGAAAAGTTTTTTATAGTTGCGTGCGTTTTTGAAGTCACATATATATCGATAAATATCGATTTGTTTTTTCTGCACTCCCAATTTTTTTTTCCATATTATGACATATATATATATATATATATATATTATTTTATAATAATATATATGAGTTTCAAAGGGAAATTAAAGACATTTAATAAATTTGATGAACAATTTATTATGACCTTGTTGAACGTTTCGTCCCTTACTGGGGACTTCCTCAGCAACTACAAATTTTTTTTTTTTTTTATTATTAATTATGACTTGTTAAAAAGATATATAAACATTACAAT